TTTCATTAACCGTTATTGCAGTACTAAGAGGCAATAGCCGAGTACTTTCCTCATCAACCTGTCTTGTTGCTCTCGCCGGGTTACCTGTATGGCATGTTAGCAAATAAGGGTATACCTGACCGGATTCAAAATCGATTTGTACCCCCGCTTGTCGTAACCATGCTACTCCTAACAGCACTAGGAAATCTATTTCTAGCTCGGTGTTACCCAGACGGCAAGGTATGCTTGTTGTGCCGTCTGCTGGAACGGGGCAACCAGTGACACCCTTTAAAAGGACATTTGAGGGTTGCAGTATAATTCCTTCTAATTGTTCCTTAACCTTCAAGTATAGTGGTAACTGCATGATATTCGGCACAGCTCCACTATCCACCAGTCCTTTGATTGGAATCGTGCCAATCTTAAAATCCGCGACCAGGTATGGCGCCAGATCGCAGCCATAGGTGAGAACCGGTAGTTCATCACCGTTTTGACTGGCTATCGGCTTCACTTCTTCTTTGGTGGAGGTTGCTCTCTCGCTCTGGACCCTTTTCTGCTTTACATGTAGAAGGTCCCGGTTCTGTTGTCTTCCTCTCTTCTATAGCTTGTCCTCGCTTGCCATACATTATGGCGAAATGTCCTTATTCGCCACAGTAAAAACAGCAGAAGTTCCGTGCTGTACCTCTGCCTCTCCCTGTATTCCATCCTCTTCCTCGGCTGGGGAAATTATTTCGTCCGCGGGGTGCTCCCCGCTGGGGTCTTCCAATCGTGGAATTGCTGCGTCCCCGTCCTCGTGTGGCGGGCCCATTCGGTTTCCCCCTGTTTGCAGGGTTGTCCCAGCACTCTGACGTCTCATGACGACATGTGCCGTGGATGTCGCAGTGCTTTTCTATCATGATGGCATTGACCACCACCTTGGTTGGTTTTCCTGAAGGGCTTGTTATGGTCGCAAATTTCTCACAGAATTTCGCATCTTTTACTGGGTGACGGTTTACCCATGCTTCGACGTGCGTAGTGATATCCTCGAGATTAGTGATTTTCTCGATCTCGCGCATGTTCCATTTATTCGTTGTAGGGTCCTTCCATTTGGCTGTAGCTGCTGGTGGGGCTACGCTCTCCATCATGTTCAAAACGACCATCCTGTGCCATGACGTAATTGTAATGTGGCCCGTTTTACACACCTCTGAATAGAACCGATAATATTGCACTGTGCTCGAAAATTCCATCCATGATTGGTTTGGTTGCCTGCGGAGGGCAAACGCGCTTGGTAAGAATTCGCCACCTCCTGTGTTCTTATTACTTGAGCAAAACTGTGCCAAGAGACCCATGAATTATTTCCAATTCATACTATTAACATCCAATGCGCTACAGTGTTCGTGGATGGCCTCGTCTGTGTGCTTTAAAGCAAACACAATCTTAGTTCTGTCGTCCATTATTTGGTGGTACTCGCATTCTCTTAAAATTTGCGCTTCCCATTGGGCAAGAGGGATTCCCCTTCCTCCTCGTTCGAGAGGTATTAACGAACGTTTCCCCAAGTCTGCTAAACGTGGCATGATGATGTTGGGAGCAACAGGTGTCTGGAATCCCGGTTGTTGGCTTGATGCAGGAAAACCAGGAATGGCCGGTTCTTGTTTGACCGGCATCTCCGTCGTCGAGCAGTTGGATTCTTCGGCCTAGCCCCTTGAGTAATTGGAGCGGGTGATTCCGCCATCCGTAATTGACGGATGGTCTCTTGGGCTTCCCGCAATTGTCTTGCGAGATCACGTTCTCGAGCGCTCGTTTCCTGTTCTTGCGCTCTTTGCTCCTGTTCTCGTTGTTCACTTCTGCGCGAGAGTCTCTCTGCATGGTCGTCTCCTCCTTCCATTAGCTCCTCCGGGCCGGGCATGGTGACGTAGAGTCGTTATGCGACCGCGAGATGAATTAAAATTCACTTAAGCTAATCCGCAAAAAAAAAAGAAAAGCGTGCGACTATGTCGACCAAAATCTATGAAACAGTAACGTGACGAACAAACAAACAACCCACTATCGTCGCGCGAGACGGTAATACACTCAACTACACTAGTACTCGGATGTTCCGAAGTGTTTTCTTACAACTATTATTATGGAATATATTCACTATAATACTGCAATTCTAATCCTACTAAAATGATAATACACTTCCAAGAATACTTGGGCAATGGACAATATATGCGTGTGGTTGTCGTTGCAACACTTTTGAAGCATATGAAAATTAGTACAATATAATGTAATACAATGTTATACACATAGTATTGCATGACAACCTTGTCGGGTCGTCTCTTGTTGTTAGTAATTAAAACACATAACAATTTCTACAACAACATCAGCATAGCTATTAGCATGTGAAAATATTCACTCTTTCATTCATTTATTCCTTCATACACTGTGTATGTGGGTGTGTGTGTAGTGTACCCGCACAATCCTGTTGACACTAGGCAACTACTTCTCTCGCTCTCACAGTGAACACTGGCAACTCGCGCACTGTAGTGTGCTAGCACACTCGTGGTGACGCTCGCTCACGAACACTGGAAACTTCCACTGCTCTCACGCTACGCTTCACTTTCGCATAGCAACCAACCACACCCAATGAATGTGTATTCAATTAACCCAATGGTGCCGGGGAAAATGAACAAAAAATGGGCCCACTTTCTATGTTTTTCGTGAAATGTCTGCCGATAGATGGCTCTGCTAGCGCCTGATTTAAATGGCGGGAAAAACGTATGTTTTCACTAGTGCTATGAAAATCGATGGTGTTATTTTTATCATAAACATAATTTTTACAATTTTTTTTAACATTAGTAACAGCAAAATAAGATTACGTAAAATATTTTGTAAATCAAAGAAACGGGTAAACGGGCGAGATGGGCGGTGCTCGTAACTGGCTTATTGGGGAGTTAGTACGAGTGTTGCCATCTATACGTAAAAATCATACAAGTACTCACTGTGGGCATAGCACGTACGTACACGTCATACCCGGCACCAAGGGGTTAACGTGTGAAAGTGAACAATACTTACATGAGTTTGATCATCGTCTTGTTCATACTTATCACTGCGTTCCTCGAACGTCTGGGAGTACGTGGGTCTACCTGTGAAATAAACACTTTGTTCGTTCTTGACGACTTTGTTTTCCGTAGGGATATTTTCTTCTCCCCCGCCACAATTTTTCAGTCCTAACCAAAATAATATCCTGCAAAGAATGTATACTTAATGTATAATTAATAATCGAATGCTGCTGGGCGCCGGCGCGCTCCAGCTTATATATGGGGAAATTGCTGAAGTCACCAGTCTGTCTAGCCTCGAGGCAGGCCCTTGGGCACATGCCCCAGTACTCATCACTGCGGTGAATACTTATTCATTCATGATGAATATAAGACCATAAATGAGATAGAACCCATATAATATATATATATATTATATGTACTTATACACAACAATAATATTATGTACATGAGTGAAATACAAGTATACATGAGTACATAATACATGAGTAAATAATACATGAGTAAATACTATACATTACTTTCAAATACTTGACTCCCCATGACATAAATATCCTATATAAAATGTCAAATACCTCTATAAATTCGTTATAAAATATTAATTCAAGGTCATTTGGTAACTACGGACCGCTTGTTACTCTAACCGTTTCTGGTTCTCTCTGCACTTTTGTACACATGTGTACGCATGTACACACATTTATAGATATGCATATATATCTACATATACATGTGCATACACTTACATAAACATGTACACACATTTACATACACAAGTACATATATGCACATGTTTTTATATACATGTGCACATACGTGTACACATATGTACGCAATTGTACCTGTACACCCACATACACATGTATGCATATGTAAGCACATGTAGATGCCAGAAAACTCGAAAACAAGTGGTCTGAGTCAAGCAATAACTGCGCTAATGAATGCATCATGTTGCTGAGGATGCCGTATACAGAGGCACCATTTTAGATTTTACTGTAACTCGGGAACCAGTCAAGACTTCTTCATGTGACAAGCGGCATTTGAAAGAGAAATGTGTATAGTTTTATAGCTAACTGAATAATACATTTTCATTGAAGGAAAGATTCAGAAAATGAACAGAACTATTCACAATTTTCGTCTCTTTTCATCAAACTGATTTTTTCGAGCTTCTGTACCGCTATTCTCATCCATGTATACACATAGATACATGTTTACACGCACATGTTCACACATTTACACACACATGTGCTAAAATTAGTACACGTGTGCATGTTTGTGTTTATGTGTACACATGTACACATGTGGATATTTACATCCATACAGACATGGACAAACTTATTTACACTTGTACATGTATGAAAATATTCATATAAATTGTCTGATACTCATGATAACCTTGTTTCTGGATTGGGTCATGTTCTCAAAAATCGATTTTTCCTACTTTTTAGAGGGGGGACTCTTTAAAATCTGATATAACTAGGGAACCAATCATATCTTCATGCAATAAGCATCATTTGAAAGAGAAATGAATGTAGTTTCTATGTATCTTTTTTCCTTCGTAAAAAAAAAAAAAAAAAATCTGACCTCCCATACCGCTATTCACGAACAGTTCTTATTCGATTTAAAATGCACATTTTTTTTTTTTTTTTTTTTGGGGGGGGGGGAGGCAAACTTGAAAATTAGAAAAAAGGGAAAATTTTGATTTTAGGGGATTTTTTTTTTGGGGGGTGGGACTAATTTCGAAAAAAGCTTACGTCAATCGCCCTCCTTCGGGGAATTTCCATAAATTATGTACCAAAGATGTGGAATGCTATAATAAACTAACTACCAAAATTTGAAGAAAATCGATAGGACCATTTTAATTTTATTAATGTTTTTAAAATTTTCCCCCATTCACCCCCCTCTTTTTCCCTGTCACCACCCCTTTGAGGGACGGTCCCTTAATGCATCTTATGTATTTCATTAATCAAATCAATGTTTTAATCACACACACATCTGCGTCTCCTGCAGGTGAAGGTGGCAGCCGTGATGGCGGTGGCGTGCGTCGTGACGGCTGATCCCGAACCTGTTTCTGGCGGAGGCAACGGCGGTGGCTTCGGTGGTGGAAGGCCGGGTGGATTCAGTGGAGGATTCGGGTCTGGTGGATCTTCAGGCGGATTCGGGCCTGGTGGATCTTCAGACGGATTCGGGCCTAGTGGATCTTCAGGCGGATTCGGGTCTGGATCTTCAGGCGGATTCGGGTCTGGATCTTCAGTCGGATTCGGGTCTGGATCTTCAGTCGGATTCGGGTCTGGGATCTTCAGTCGGATTCGGGTCTGGATCTTCAGTCGGATTCGGGTCTGGTGGATCTTCAGACGGACACAGGCCTGGTGGATCTTCAGACGGACACAGGCCTGGTGGATCTTCAGACGGATTCGGGTCTGGTGGATCTTCAGACGGACACAGGCCTGGTGGATCTTCAGACGGACACAGGCCTGGTGGATCTTCAGTCGGATTCGGGTCTGGTGGATCTTCAGACGGACACAGGCCTGGTGGATCTTCAGACGGACACAGGCCTGGTGGATCTTCAGTCGGATTCGGGTCTGGATCTTCAGTCGGATTCGGGTCTGGATCTTCAGTCGGATTCGGGTCTGGATCTTCAGTCGGATTCGGGTCTGGATCTTCAGTCGGATTCGGGTCTGGTGGATCTTCAGACGGACACAGGCCTGGTGGATCTTCAGACGGACACAGGCCTGGTGGATCTTCAGACGGATTCGGGTCTGGATCTTCAGTCGGATTCGGGTCTGGATCTTCAGTCGGATTCGGGTCTGGATCTTCAGCCGGATTCGGGTCTGGTGGATCTTCAGACGGACACAGGACTGGTGGATCTTCAGACGGATTCGGGTCTGGATCTTCAGTCGGATTCGGGTCTGGTGGATCTTCAGACGGACACAGGCCTGGTGGATCTTCAGACGGATTCGGGTCTGGATCTTCAGTCGGATTCGGGTCTGGATCTTCAGTCGGATTCGGGTCTGGTGGATCTTCAGACGGATTCGGGTCTGGATCTTCAGTCGGATTCGGGTCTGGTGGATCTTCAGACGGACACAGGCCTGGTGGATCTTCAGACGGATTCGGGTCTGGATCTTCAGTCGGATTCGGGTCTGGATCTTCAGCCGGATTCGGGTCTGGTGGATCTTCAGACGGACACAGGCCTGGTGGATCTTCAGACGGACACAGGCCTGGTGGATCTTCAGACGGACACAGGCCTGGTGGATCTTCAGACGGATTCGGGTCTGGATCTTCAGTCGGATTCGGGTCTGGTGGATCTTCAGACGGACACAGGCCTGGTGGATCTTCAGACGGATTCGGGTCTGGATCTTCAGTCGGATTCGGGTCTGGATCTTCAGTCGGATTCGGGTCTGGATCTTCAGCCGGATTCGGATTTGGATCTTCAGTCGGATTCGGGTCTGGATCTTCAGTCGGATTCGGGTCTGGATCTTCAGTCGGATTCGGGTCTGGTGGATCTTCAGACGGACACAGGCCTGGTGGATCTTCAGACGGACACAGGCCTGGTGGATCTTCAGACGGATTCGGGTCTGGTGGATCTTCAGACGGATTCGGGTCTGGATCTTCAGTCGGATTCGGGTCTGGATCTTCAGTCGGATTCGGGTCTGGATCTTCAGCCGGATTCGGGTCTGGATCTTCAGCCGGATTCGGGTCTGGATCTTCAGCCGGATTCGGGTCTGGATCTTCAGTCGGATTCGGGTCTGGATCTTCAGTCGGATTCGGGTCTGGATCTTCAGTCGGATTCGGGTCTGGATCTTCAGCCGGATTCGGGTCTGGATCTTCAGCCGGATTCGGGTCTGGATCTTCAGCCGGATTCGGGTCTGGATCTTCAGCCGGATTCGGGTCTGGATCTTCAGCCGGATTCGGTTTGGATCTTCAGCCATGGGTGGATCTTCAGCGGTGGGTCTGGGATCTTCAGTCGGATTCGGGTCTGGGGATCTTCAGCGGACGGGTGGATCTTCAGACGGATTCGGCTTGGATCTTCAGTCGGATTCGGGTTCTGGTGGATCTTCAGACGGACACAGGCCTGGTGGATCTTCAGACGGACGATTCGGTGGATCTTCAGTCGGATTCGGGTCTGGATCTTCAGATCGGATATCGGGTCTGGATCTTCAGCGGATTCGGGTGGATCTTCAGTCGGATTCGGGTCTGGTGGATCTTCAGACGGACACAGGCCTGGTGGATCTTCAGACGGATTCGGTGTGGATCTTCATCGGATCGGTCTGATCTCGGATTCGGGTCTGGATCTTCAGCCGGATTCGGGTCTGGATCTTCAGCCGGATTCGGTCTGGATCTTCAGCCGGATTCGGTCTGGATCTTCAGCCGGATTCGGGTCTGGATCTTCAGTCGGATTCGGGTCTGGATCTTCAGTCGGATTCGGGTCTGGATCTTCAGCCGGATTCGGGTCTGGATCTTCAGTCGGATTCGGGTCTGGATCTTCAGTCGGATTCGGGTCTGGATCTTCAGCCGGATTCGGGTCTGGATCTTCAGCCGGATTCGGTCTGGATCTTCAGTCGGATTCGGGTCTGGATCTTCAGTCGGATTCGGGTCTGGATCTTCAGTCGGATTCGGGTCTGGATCTTCAGTCGGATTCGGGTCTGGATCTTCAGTCGGATTCGGGTCTGGATCTTCAGCGGATTCGGGTCTGGATCTTCAGCCGGATTCGGTCTGGATCTTCAGTCGGATTCGGGTCTGGATCTTCAGTCGGATTCGGGTCTGGATCTTCAGTCGGATTCGGGTCTGGATCTTCAGCCGGATTCGGGTCTGGATCTTCAGTCGGATTCGGGTCTGGATCTTCAGCCGGATTCGGGTCTGGATCTTCAGCCGGATTCGGGTCTGGATCTTCAGTCGGATTCGGGTCTGGATCTTCAGCCGGATTCGGGTCTGGATCTTCAGCCGGATTCGGGTCTGGATCTTCAGCCGGATTCGGGTCTGGATCTTCAGCGGATTCGGGTCTGGATCTTCAGTCGGATTCGGGTCTGGATCTTCAGCGGATTCGGGTCTGGATCTTCAGCGGATTCGGGTCTGGATCTTCAGTCGGATTCGGGTCTGGATCTTCAGTCGGATTCGGGTCTGGATCTTCAGTCGGATTCGGGTCTGGATCTTCAGCCGGATTCGGTCTGGATCTTCAGCGGATTCGGGTCTGGATCTTCAGTCGGATTCGGGTCTGGATCTTCAGTCGGATTCGGGTCTGGATCTTCAGTCGGATTCGGGTCTGGATCTTCAGCCGGATTCGGGTCTGGATCTTCAGTCGGATTCGGGTCTGGATCTTCAGCGGATTCGGGTCTGGATCTTCAGTCCGGATTCGGGTCTGGATCTTCAGTCGGATCGGTCTGGATCTTCAGCCGGATTCGGGTCTGGATCTTCAGTCGGATTCGGGTCTGGATCTTCAGCCGGACTCGGGTCTGGATCTTCAGTCGGATCTCGGGTCTGGATCTTCAGCCGGATTCGGTCTGGATCTTCAGCGGATTCGGGTCTGGATCTTCAGCCGGATTCGGTCTGGATCTTCAGCGGATTCGGGTCTGGATCTTCAGTCGGATTCGGGTCTGGATCTTCAGCGGATTCGGGTCTGGATCTTCAGCCGGATTCGGTCTGGATCTTCAGTCGGATTCGGGTCTGGATCTTCAGTCGGATTCGGGTCTGGATCTTCAGTCGGATTCGGGTCTGGATCTTCAGCCGGATTCGGGTCTGGATCTTCAGCCGGATTCGGGTCTGGATCTTCAGCCGGATTCGGGTCTGGATCTTCAGCCGGATTCGGATTTGGATCTTTCGGCGGATACGGTGGATCTTCAGTCGGATTCCACCAACTATCCTACTACCCCCGGACGTATGGCCATTAGACAACACGAGCAAAATTCGATTCACACTTCTGCAACAATGTCAACAGAACACAATACACTTTTGCATACTCACTTCCGTGTTTTTTTATGCCCTGGCTCTCGTTGGCATTCCTGACTATGATTGTCTAATCAGGGATTGGCAAATAAATTGACAAAGTTTCGGATGTACTCGTATGATATTCCACTATGTGTTTAAGATATTCATTTTCTTTTCTTAATTATTAAACAGTACACTAATACGCTCACACGCACGCCCATAAAGACACATGTATACATGCACGTATTTACATTTATTTATATATTTATGTATGAATACATATATGTACATATGTTTATTTACGACTATATACATATACATATATACATTTACAAATATATATATATATATACATATATATAATTATATATATATATATATATATATATATATATATATATATATATATATATATGTATATATATATATGGTTATAGTTACACATATGTAAACATATAAATATATATATATAAACTTGTATATACATATATCATATACTTTTGTACATAACATACATATATACCTGTGTGTGTATACTCTTTTAGATATATATTATACATAACACTTTTATATATATATACATATATGTATATATACACATATGTACTATGTATTGATATATATGTATGCATATGTATTATATGATTATATATACATGTATATGTGTGTTTCATATGTATGTTTGTATTTATATTTATTTATATAAATACTTTATATATACATGTATATATAGGGACATAAATGCATACATACATATGTATATTTTATATTATGTACATATATATGTATGTATGTGTATATATATTGTGTGTGTGCATAATACGTTTACTATCTCAGAAACACTCAGAATCATCGAGAAGGTCAGTGGAATTTTGACCTTGATAACGAAAGCAAAGGAAACTATCGCCAAAATAATAAAAACAAAGGACCATGAAAAAAGCCAACAAACTGAAGAACAATTACATATGAGGATTAAGTTTCTAGCAACATTATATATATATATATATATATATATATATATATAAATTACATATTATTCATATATGTATATATATATATATATATATGTATGTGTATATATATATATACAGATATAGATGTACATATATAGAAATATGTATATATATATATATATATATATATATATATATATATATATATATATATATATATACATCCGTGATAGATATACATTATATATAATATATATATTGTACATATTATATATATATATATATATATATATATATATATATATATATATATATATATATATATATATATATGTATATATATATATATACACATATATATATATATGAACCGTATTCATGTCGACAAACGTAGATAAGGTATGAATGAGAATGAGTATCTTCACAATACAAGAGATGTATTTGACCGGTTTCGAATTATATCTTCGTCAGAAATACATACAACAGAGGAATTACAGAGCATATATATATCATACATTAGCTGACGAGTTACCTGACTGTGACCTCCCGCTCGTTGACCGTATGATTGCTGCCGTGACCTTGGATAATTTGAATCAGCCGGATGTTGATGTTATTTTCCGTCGTGATGTAAGCAGCTTCCATGATTTTTCTTTGCTGCTTGTTCAGTCCTCCATGGATTATTTTTGCTTCTTTCCAATCAGGTAGATGTCCAGCTTCATCTACATGGACCACCATGGCGTTGGAAGTCCTATGGTGACGGATGTCAGCTCGGTGTTCGCTGATCCTGGTGCTGAAGCCACGGCCTGTTTCGCCAAAGTATGCTGTGTCGCATCTGCTGCAGGGTATGCGATACACAGCATTGTTGGTGTTGTTTACAGGCTGCTTTTTCTCCCGTACCATATCATGTATCTTATTCCCGGATGTGCTGGCGATTCTCACTGTGTTGCCGAAGTATCTGCTGATCGCTTGGGAAACGTTGCATGACGGCAATATGAGAAAATCATTAGAAGAAGGTGCAGGATCAGATCTAGTGAGTATATTCGCGGCCTTCTTTCTGAGGTTCAGTAGGAAGCCTTTGGGGTATTTATGTTTCATTCATTCTCATTCATACCTTATCTATACATATATACATATATATATATATATATATACATCCGTGATATATATACATTATATATATATATACTGTACATATTATTCATATATATATATATACATATATACATACATATATATATATATACACATAGATACAGATATAGATATAAATAAATATATATATATATATATATATAAATAGACAGATATGTGTGTATGTATATATATGCATATATAAATAGATGGGTAGATAGATACACATATATGTGTGTAAATATAGTTATATATATATATAAAAATATATATCTACATCTATATCTATATATAAACACACACACATATATATGTGTGTATATATATATATATATATATATATATATGTGTGTGTGTGTGTGTGTATGCACATACATATATATAGGCCTATATATGTACATTATATATATATTTATATATAAACAGACAGATATGTGTGTTTGTATGTATATATGTATACATATACATATATAGATAGGTAGATACATAGAAACAATACACTTTTACAAACATTGATACAAGCCTATGAGTCCGTTTGAGTAAAACTGAGGGAGACGTGATCTGAACCATAGCTGCTCTTTTTATATATTCAACCGATGGAAAACTGGTACCTTTCATTTATCTTTTTAAAGTTTAGAAACAAAAAGAAGTCGGATGGGGCTGCAAGATGGATGTCGGACGATTTCCCATCGAAATTCACGTAGCTCAGCTCTTGTCTGCCGAGTGCCGTGAGCGGGTGCATTGTCGTGGTGGAAGAGAACGCGTTGATGTAGCTTTCCAGGGCGTTTTTTCTGATAATTTTGGACACTTCTCAAAACGCATTCCTAATAAGCAGTGTAATTGTAAAGTGTAAAGAAGTCAACCAGAAAAATCCCTTCTGCCTCCCAGAAGACACTGGTTGTGACCTTTCCTCTTGAACGCTCAGATTTTGCTTTGTCTGGCCCAGTTCCACCCCTGGGCAGCCACTGCTTTGTTTGGATTTTGTCCTCGGGATCTTATTGGTAGAGCCATGATTCATCCCCTGTCACAATTCTCTGCTTCAGCTTCAGAGTCCTCATTCCCCTTGTTCATTAAAAGATCTACCCTTATTTGCTGCTGATCTGGGCGCAACACCCTAGGGACCCATCGAGCGAAAAGCTTGCTTAGCGCCAAACTCTTCACCAAAATTGTGTGTGCAGAACCCACAGAGATGTCGAGTGTGTCTACTACTAATTCAGTGGATATTAGTCTATCCTTTTCAACATATGTCGCGAACAGCATCAGCAT